GGGGGGGGGGGGGAGTGCTTGGAGTAGGCCTGGAGAGGAACCAGATAGGATTGGAGGCATTAATAAGCCATGTATAAAGTATGCACTCCGAGAGCGGAGTGGAAAACACTTCTTGAGGGGCAACCAACCAACGCTACTATAACGTGCATAGGACAACCGCGGCACATCAAACACTGCATTCTCAATGTCTACGGACACTTGTTTGAATTGTTTGATTCGCTAGGGAAGAGGGATAATGACCATGTCACTATACACAGCATATTTAAGATGAGTACAAGTCATCAATATGATTCTGCACCGTTTTTTCTTTGTTTTATTGTAAGCCAAACGACCCCCGAGGAGGATGTAGGGAAAGGAGATGAGCAGATTTGGATTGAGGGCTATTTCATGGTAATTGGTTTATATATGATGCAAAGGACCAGAAAATATATTATCGGTGCCTGCCCAGCCTTTTGAGGATTGGGTTAGTATAGTAGGATCTGTTTCTTTGAAACTTTGGATTTGCTTTTATCTGTCTTCTATCCGTTGCTGAGATTCGTGTTCTTAGATCCACGCACCTTCTGTCTCCCGCTGCCTACAAACTAAGTAGGAAGCAAGGCATGCAATGTAAGTCCATTGTATAACTCTGGTCCCCACACTGACAATATGGAATCACTTTCAGGTCCCTAAACTGTATCTCTGGCTTCAGATTAAATCTTCTTTAGTCTGTCTTCAAGTCTCTCCCCTGGTCGTACATCTCCATCCCAAACACAATTCCGCCAAAGAATATCAACAAAAGGGATCATGATGTAATAGTGCCAAGTCACCCTGCTGAGTTCTCTGTCATATCCTCCAGTTCTTATGCCTAGCGCATACACCAGAGCCACAAGTAGGTTTCTAGTCTACATGATAAACCATCATGAGCAAACGTCCTGGCCAGATATTTAGATATTTGATTGGCTGTGCCTCTTTTGACTGTAAGCAAGTTGCTGACTCAATCTTGTTCACTATTGTTCTAAATCTGGTCTACACTGTTTTCAGGAGCTATCAATGTCAGCCTTGTTCAAAAAGCTCAGCATCTCTGAAGCTTACAATTCATATCCTTGAATGTTAGTACCATACCCACTCAACGAGTTAAATAACAAGTACAACCCAATCATGTCTTTTACACATAAGTACCAACACTAAACTCAATACATATATTTTACAGGAACCATCAAAACAAACATTCATCTCAAATTTTTTCGGATCATATTGTACACTACTGAGCCCTCATTTCCTCAGCTTCTTCCACAATCTCTTCAGCAGTGAACATAGCAAGTTTGATTTTTTCCTCCATTTTCTGGATGTTTCAGCCTGCGGGACTTACACACGAAGAGGAGCACTGACTGATGCTGGCCCTGATGCTTGTGGTCTAGCCTCTTTGTTGGGAACAGTACTAAGTGGTTGCGACACCATGGATTCTCTCTGTAATGATTGAGGTTGAAGCTGATTAGCACTTGGGGTATCTTGAGTGGTCTGTTTGCATGGCAACCTGGACACGATGGATCTCAGTTGAGTAGTGCTTTCTTGTGGTTCCATGCGCACATCAGTCGCAGAGGATGCATGAAGTACTTCCACCCCTACAGAGTCATATTCCCATCCATTGTAAAATCCAGTGGAAACTACAGAATGTGATTAGCTGTACATTACTAGCCGAAGAAAGGATGAGTGAACTGACCTGAAACACAGCTGGCGGTCTGACAGGCAGTCCAGTTGTTACCATGCAGAAAGTGCTCATATGATACACGGACAGTATCATGTGCACCAATCATTAGAACAGTGCGAGAATTGTACCAATACCTGATTATGTTTGGTGGCATCCAATGCATAAGGAGTGTGTCCATGCGTGCATTCTCAAATGATATCCACCCTGAGTCACCTTGTATGCCTTTATATCTCTCCCAATCAACAGGGACTGGATATGGCAATACATGGCTGGAGTGCTTTTTATCCACCAAGGCTGAAGTAGATTCATTGCCACCAGGATAAAATCCAACAGATTCACCAACCCTATTGTGGCCTTGAAAGGGGCCAGCCACTAGCTGACCAGAGGTGGCATCCCAGATCCTCACTGTCTGATCCCAAGAGCCTGAAACCACTTTGGTGCCATCAGGAGAAAATCCAACAGATCTGACCTGCTGAGTGTGGCCTTCCAATGGGCCAGCCACTAGCTGACCAGAGGTGGCATCCCAGATCCTCACTGTCTGATCAGAAGAGCCTGAAACCACTTTGGTACCATCAGAGGAAAATGCAACAGATGTGACGCTACCATGGTGACTTCGTAAGATATTTAGCATAGGCAGCCACTGTTTATTCTTGCCAGACACAATATTCATAGTATGCGAAAAATGTGGTGGACATGCTGTAGATACCAGTGAGTTGTCTGGTGCCCATGGCAGAGCAGACAAGTAAATGTGAGGCACACTCTCAAAAATGGGCACATCAAAATTGGCAATAAATCGACATGCATCTTGTGCATATTCTTCTGATTTTGCATCAATGAACTGTAAAAAGCGCCACAAAGTTATTATATGATGAGTGAACATAGTTTACATTAGTTGGCTTACCTTGAGTGAAGGTGACACAGCATTTAGGACAACATGGGCACTAGGCGTGTTGTACAATAGCGATATGACTTCCAGTGGAGTAAATTATGTTTGAAGAATCTCTGCAGCATTTCTGCCGACCAGGTGCAACCAGCCAATGATGCTCTGGCGTCAGCAAGGTGCTCCCCCCAATACCGGGACAAATAGCTCAGATAGTCAGGTATATTAACCTTGATATGCTTGTCCACATCTTTTACATCACTGTTCCGGAGATATGATGTCTCGAGCCCACAGATGTTAAATCTCAACCCGTCCTGTGGGTTCTGCATAATCTGCATGCATGCACGCAACAGATCCAAGTTCCTCCTGCTCTCTGTATTGCGGCGAATGCGAAATGCATCAGGACACCAGTCTGAATCCAAAAGAAACTCTATAAAGGACAGATGCCCGATGGGAACAGTCTCGTCTTTGCCTACAGAGACTACAGAAGTCCACTCGCCCAACACACGATCAATTGCAATTGCAATGCTATCCACCTCGCCACGAGCAGCAAAATACTCTTCCAGGTATTTGAGTGACAGTGGAGCTTTTGCGAACACTATAGCTCCAAGCAATGCCTGCACCACATCACCAATATCTCCTATGCTGTCCCACACATTGGTGGTTATCTGCTTATACAGATGATTGACGCTATGCTCTATGTTTAAAGGCCCTCCAGAGTGTATTATCTCTAGTTGCTTTAGTGGATCACCTTTTTCTAAGAAGCGCATGGCAGTTACTGCCCAGATAAAAAGGCCCGCTGCACGATCTGTAAGCTGTTCAATAACATCAGGTCCTGGCCAGTCAGTAGTTTGTAGGGTGCAAAACCTCTTTTTCAATGCAATAAAATGTTTATTTAAAAAAGCACGAATATCTGCAGTCGCTGTAGACGTCACTTGGTTTCCAGTTGGTAAAACAATATCTTTGCAGGCTTCACCAAAATCCGGAGGGATGTGATCGTCTCAACTGGTGATGATTAATTTGAACGCCTTGGACAACTTTGACCACTGTGTGAGAGTATCCAATAGAGCCTCCCGTTGAGATTCCCCAGACAAATTATTGCACTCATCAAGTGCATCCACTACAATGACTGGATACCTAAAATCAAGAGGACAGCAACATTAGTCACAAGTCTCTGGACAAAGTAAACATTATATCCTACGTATAATGTTGCTAATCCTTGCCGTAGTTGGCGTTCAAACTCTTCACAATGAAAGAATTAAAATGATCTTTGATATTTGGCCTTTGCAGGTTTAGCTGCCCACTCTTTAGAGTTTCAATGATAGTGGATGCAATCCTGGTATCAAATAGAGCAAGTTCGTGTGCAACAGTACACCACAGAGCAGCAGGATTGCTCAGAGAGGCATCACCTCGGTGAAAAGAGAAAAATCCACCGAGAAGACCTTTTTGCAATAATCAAGAGTTAAAGCTGGAAGCGATGGCGGGCTTGCCCGTGCCAGGACTACCCTTAATCCACAAGATATTCTTTGCGCTGGGATCCACAAGCCATTCATCAATTCTGTTGAAGATATCTTGACATATGCCATCCATAAATGGTTGTACATAGTGGCGATTGTAATCTACGGGATCCAACCTCACTAGGATGGCCTTGTCTGAGGCGCCAGATTGAATATTGGTAATATTTGTATTGTGCTGATCTCTTCCAATGTCTTGATAATTAGCTATGTGAGCTTCAACATGCGATCCAGCTTGAGTAAAAGGCATGATCGAGGAGTTGAATGGTATGGAAGGACAATATTTGTGAAGTTGATGTTGAGGGGAGAGAAAGAGTGGTGGGGGCAAAAGATGTGTGGGTCTCAGAAGCACACGTGTGTACAGCAAGGTGGCCTCGTGGTCGGCATTAGCCAGACGCTCAATGCATCGTCTGAGAGACACTCAGATCTCAGACCTCAAGATCTCAAGACTCGACTCGGAGCTTGTTTTTACGGTGGTTGTTTGGTTACGGTTGGAATTTTAAACACCGCAGAACACGGCATCTTAGTATATTCAACAGCCACTCTTATACCTCTAATTTGCCCATGCAGTGTGACCATGATTGTTGTGAGTATCAATATTATTATAAAATGTGCTTTGCAAGTACAGGGAAAATTGGTGAAGACAAAATGTCACGAATATGGAAAGGAAAATAGTTACTACAAAAAACTTGTACGGAAAAGTTCGCAGGCAGGCCAGGGATTGAGTGCAAGGGGGTACAAGGCATATGTCAGCTGGAAATATTAGGTAAGCAGAAAGTCACGCTTACCTACTTTGCATGCTCAGTCAACCTCGAGTGGCCAGAGTAAAAAAAAAATTAGGTTTTAGCTGATCTGTGGAGTGAGCGTTGTGATGGAATGGATCCAGAATAGTGGCTGCAGCGTTGGACGAGATTGTACAGTGGTCGTTTGGTTACGGTTTGATTTTGGACGCCGATCTAAAATTCAGTAATTTTTTTGAAAGGCCGATAAACTGTACAAAGATTATATTGTAAGTTTATAGATATGTGAGTAATGATCAGCGATAGCTTAATTAAGATCGAGAGAGCTTCCTTAGAGATACAGTTTGTGAGACCAAAAAAACAAATATATTGTCACAGATGCGCTTTCAGGACATACAACTGAAGCAGTACGAATGAAGACAGCACGGCTGACTCCTGTGCCAATAAGAGAGGCTCTAGCCCTACAGAAGATGTCAGTGGGATGAAAATGATGAGAATCGGTAGATATGTAACATACCAGCCAAAATGGTCCTGCAGTACTGTTCTCTGGGACCTCCAAGGTGGCACCATGGTAGATGTGTGTGTGCACATGGGGAAAGGGGGCATGGGTTTGACAGTGGAATGAGGAGGGTGGTTGAACCATGGGGAGCAGGCACAGCAGCAAGGGAGGCGGCGGCGGTGGGAACAACGGCAGCACCTGACAAATAGGACACCGGAGCAGACACAGCTGGCTGGAGCATCTGCACATTGATCACGGGGGATATGGGCCAACCCTTGGGACTAGGTGTGCAAGAGCTGGCGGACAATCCAGGGCGAGTGTAATGGATGATAGTTGCGAAAAGGACATCAGCGTTGGTATTTGACAGGTGCATGTTGGCGAGGATGGAAACAATTAAATCTGAGAGGTGAGTTAGCAGAGGGATGATTGACAAAAAAACAACTTACCGGTCCCAGTTTCACCACTATCATTATCCCCACGAGCATATTATCAATGCGTACAGAATTTAGAGAGAACATCCTGACCTGTATATGATCCCTTGCAGCGTGAGCCAACCTAAACCAGAGCCCTATATGGTGCATGAAGGGAGTAACAATACCAGCATTTAGAGCTATGAATTGAGTTAAGAGAAACAATGTTGTGGATAGGCAGGGTAGTCGTAGATGAGAGCCAAAACAAATAATGAGGAAGGCTGCCGAATCAGGAAAGTCAGCTCACATGACCATTTCGCGCACATGGACCTCAAGTCAGACAGCAGAAACTTCATCAAGTTATCCGCAAGTGTTCACAATGTTCACGTTTGGAACAAGGAAACAAATACAAGGACATGAAAAAAAGGGCATGTGCATGAGGTGCAATGAGTCTGAAGTTCCGGTTTGCAAGGGAACACCTCTTCCAATCTGTTATGTCAAAGTGCCAACCTTCAAGGTCAAGTCGAAGATGCTGGAGCTCAAGCCTTGAGCTTTCCATCAAGTTCAAAGAAGAAATTTGGAAGTGAGTTGCCCAACCATTTATTGTAGTGCTAGCTTACAAAGGCTCAAATGAGTTCCCTACAGATCCTCCGATGCATCCTTGAGGAAACCGGACCTCAAGCTTCTGTCAAGTTCCAAGTCAAGGAGGCAAAGGTTTGGATCTCACAAACTGGGAGGATTGAGGGACTCCAAGCACATCAATCATGCGGCCTTGAAGAAACCGTACCTCAAGCCTTCTACTGACTTCAAGGAAGTAAGGTCAGCCCACAACTTGGTCATCTGCTAACCACGATGATCTGAATGACTGCTTTGCAGATCCTAAATTTAACAACAAAGATCCTCCACAATGTCGCAGGGTCCCCAGTAATGCGGGCACTGTGAGGATTGAAGGACTCCAAGCACACCAGTCACGCAGCCTTGAAGAAACCGGACCTCAAGCCTTCTACTGACTTCAAGTAAGGTCAGCCCAAAACTTGATCATCTGCTAACTACAAGGATCCAAACCACTTTTTTACGGGGATTCAGATTGGAGGCCGGTGTTTTGATAATAGATACTGTAATTATATATTCACAATTATAGACATTAAATTGCAAGAAAATGAGACATGTACTACAAGACAATAGCTAAGGCAAATCAATCCCAGGTTCCATCCGAATCGTCCGTCCATTCATATTCAAAGTCAGTCTCTGCTTCGTGTGATGAGTAGCATGCAACATTATGTGGTGCGCCTCCCACAACAGGTCTCCCTTGCTGGTGTGGTGGAAGAGGTATAACCGGCATGAAATCCAAGTCTTCTGCATTGTTGGAATAGCAGACTTGGCCAGCATGGCCTGGAATTCAGTGTCGTTCGGCTGGTTTTGGAACTGCTCGAGCAAGTGGACATAGATGTCCCATACATTGTTGCAACAAATTGGTGGGTAGTTTGCAGCATCTGAGATTGCGCAAGCTTGTAACGCAAAGGCTGGAGGTACTAAGTTAAAGACATGATGATCGGGGGGTGCATATTTTTTTCGCACTTCAGTGAGATAAGGCGGATGGATCTTAACCTGGACAAGCATGTATTTGAGATGACCAATGGAATCAAGGGAAACAAACTTACCACAAAGTCACGCAACTCAAATTTCTCTGGTTGATTGAAGATATCAATGGGGTGTCCGTGTGGAAGCAGCTTGTGTGAATTATGTCGGGGCTTTGTGCGGTTGAATCTGTCAACAAAGCGGTCGAGTTCCTGTTGTATCCAGGGGATAAATACATAGTGGAATACCAGCCTGCAAATAAGTGTCAGTCATACTATAGCCTAGATAGATGGAATGCGACCATTGGAGGGGATCATCTGCATCATATAGGCCCTCTTTGACCCCCCAGTCAATAAGTGACTCAAAACCCGGAGACCACTGTCTTCAAAGTTTACCCCAAAAGATCTCTGGCTTGATGTTGCAATGGGATCCTTTGAAACTATGCTGTAACATTTTGTCCAAAGCTGGGTCTTGCATGTATCGAAGGAGTGTGTGGTCATTTGCAATGCTATAATTTTCGGTTCCAGGGTCGCTTTGAGTGATTAGAGGCATCCCTGTGTTGTATAACATGAACATTAGCAATGGAACTTGTTAAAAAAAAGTGAACTTACCACCCAACCGCTCCATAATGTTGCAGTACCATCCGCATATTAGACGAGGATTGTGGTTTGTCCACCAAACTTTGAGCCAGAGGACATAGCCAGAACAGGGCTCAATTCCAACGTGAAAAAGAGCTGGAAGTGGCGCCATTTATTGTGCTGATCAAAGCACCACAGCTCATTAATGCCAGCTGTCCAGAAATAGCTACGTTTTAATTGGCGTCTTACTTGTCCTTGTACTTCTTCTGGATGGTGCAAGTTCATGTATTCTAGTATTACTCGCCTGTCAAAATATTATTTGAGTGTCCCAGTCGGTGTGGAGAATGGAACAATTTACTGAGGCACCATCACCGATTCTTCATGTCGCAATGTCTGTTTCATGTCATGTGATCCTTGATGAGGAAACCGTGCACGAACACGTTCAATAGCTAGCCCAATACTTTTAACTGAATGTCCCTGGCCCCGAGTGCTCTTTAAGCCCCACACCATCCTTTTTTTCTTCAATAATGAAAGGCTGTAGTTAACAAAACAAATGTGTCAGTCTAATGTATGCTAGCATCACACTTAGAAGGAAAGGTTCACAAAAAAGAATACTGCTCTGTGTCATAGTAGTCCTTGAGTTTAGTGATAATTTCTGGATTGGTATATCCCTCTGCTACAAATTGCTCCACCAATGGCCAAATTACAGTGTCAGGAGCTGTGTTAAAAGGACGTAAAGTGAGCATAATGTTACACTGAGATTCCTGCAAGCCTACCTGGAGTTACCTTATATCCATTGGTACCACGGGGATTGGGCATTGTCCTAGATGTAAACAAAAAGCAATGTGAAGGCTCTGTTGCCGGAAATAAGGCAACCTCAAAAATGAACTCACTGTGAACGTGCTGAAGGGCTATCCATTTAGCCGTTGTGCAAGCAATCACCAGTCACCTGTCACCTCTTCCTTGTTTGTTCCTCACTGATGCTACCTCAATCACCGTCTCCTTGTCTTTACTCAATCACAAGTGTTTGAGATTGCCCATTGGTGAGCTGCAATTCACCCTGATTTACATAGCCCTTATCTTTGTCTTTGTGCCGAGGAAATTCTTGCGAGGCCTGCAACTCGGACACAACATCACTTAACTCGGACTTGAATGTAACCCAAAGTATCCATATAAAATACAATAGGAGGGGAAAGGTATGTAATTTCGCTATCATGGATTTTACACCCACTACTGAAGGCCCCTCTTTTAAGACTTGTAATTGTTGTCGCACTGAGTTTGATAGGTCAATCCAGTTCTTGTACATCAAGGGCAGAGATGGGACCGGTCGCCACTGTTGCCCGGATTGTGCCGCTCATTATCAACGCAAGCGTGCTGAAGCTAGAGAAGACATTAATGGGGGCACATCAAATGGATCTGTTGGTATGTTTGTTTTATTTCTGTAATCTAATCTATGCTGATAAGGCGGCTTAATACTAGATTTCACAAAAGTAGCTTCCAGCACACGTGGCATTGATGCTACTTCGCGCCAAGCTCTTGTCAAAGCTTCCTCGGCAGCACAATGTGGCGGTGAGTAAAATTTCTGTCTCCCCTGTGCGTGGTAATAGCACTTACTGACACAATGTACTTGCAGAACAATCATTCCCCAAGCAGCATATTGGCATGGGCCATACTGCTTCAATGCCTCCACCTCATGTTCCCGTGTCTGTTAGTATCTCTCAAGCCATAGGTTGTGAGGAATCGATTTTTCTTATCGCATTCCCGTCATGTCGTGGTTAGCAGACTCAATCCCCGTCACTCCTCTTGCCCTTGGACTAGAGATTACAGCAGGTGTCTTATTACTTTTATCATTTTTCTTCTTATTCTCTCTTCACACTCACGTTCTATCGTACCTACGACGAGGTAGACTCGTTGTCGACCCTCGAGAAGATATCCAGATGACATAGTCACGATCCAGTGCTATGTCTGGGAATACTTTGGAGGAATATTGATAAGCGAAGAAGGTTGTGAGTCAGCGCCTTCTCATGGGCTTACTGATACAGCCAATCGTACATCCCTTACCAATACGCTTTCTCATACGATTAGTAAAGACGATAGATCGGACCACTTTCTTCCTTTTTTCTTATTGGTTAGCTAGCTGGTCAGACCACTTTCTCAGTACTCCCCTTTCTCGGTCTGACCATCGTCGTTCACTATATAGAGAAGTACATACTTGATGTATTGTTCTCCAGTTCAATATTAGTTTGGATTTGCGCTCTTACCGATACTCTTCATTCTCATACTCTGATTCACCGCCTTCAAGGAAGGACTTGACCAGACATTGGGCTTTGTTATATAGCTTCGTATTTGTTGCCTGACAAAATATTGAACTCACCTACCTCGAATCCTTTTCCAGAGCCCCTCTTTGGAAAACCGTTTCCTTACACCCTGAAAAAGACTGTCGTTGCCACTGCACCGGTCTAAACCTTCATCATCACCTTCTCCACCTCTCTACCATCCCTATCCCTCTCCTCACTATCGTCATCGACCTCTCACTATCCACCCCATTACACCTATTGTCGTTCAGTCTTCCCAAACTGGACGCCTTCTCTACCATCACCGCTCTCGTCCAATTCTTTGCGTTCTTTGCCATCATCAGGTACCTACAAACCGGACTCGACAGCGACGTCGTGTACCTCCATCGTGTCTACCTCCCAACAGCTCTCAGAAGAGTGGGTATCAGAAGCGGACCGCAGACACCAGAGAGATTTCCTCGCAACTCTCAACAAACCGCTCCCGGTCCTCCCCGTCCCTACCGAAGCCCGTACTCCAGACGTGGAAGGAACGGTCGAACAGATCACTGAGTTGTATCAAGACTCCTCTGCTTCGTCTTCACCAATCGATCTGATCGAGGATATCATCCTCGACATAAACGACGCACTCGCTCTCACCCAATCCATCTTTTACCATTCCGCCATCTGTAGGAGAAATTCTCGCAGTCTCGAGGAGATACTCCAACATCTCCGACAGAGCACGGAGAGAACTTTTAATCTTCATATCCCTGTGGCACGAACAAATTCCGTTGATAGACTACTTCGAGAGCCTAGTACGCCCGAGTTACGAGAACACTCAGAGGGTTAAGCTTTTGAAAGGAATAGCCAACGTACAAGAACGAAACCTGCAACTTATTTCGCAGAGCCACATCCCAGATCTCCTCGATCTTTATCGAATCCGCCCTCTCATTTTTCCAGACATACCCAGCCGCCTCCTCCCTTACGATTTCGAACACACCTTGCTTTGTGGCATTGTGTTAAGGAAGAGGCCTAACGAGGAACCTACCTACGATATCCCGTCCTCATTTTTTACATCTGACTACTACGACACCTACTCCGCCTCTCCTGTCAGTTACCAACCCATCCAGTACTTCTGCATCGGCAATCATCTAGACCACCTTTCTATTGTCCAATATCTGACACGACTTCGCCGAACTCTCTACCTCCCTGAAGTCCACGATCTTGACGCATTCGGGCCGCGGTTTGGTCTTCAACACAGCACTTCCATTATCATTGTCACGCCCTCTACTAAAGATCATATTCGACGAGTTGTTGCTGCGTTAGCACGATTTGATCAGCTCATCGCAACTGCTCAGAGGAAATCCCGTGACGGAGAAGACTACACGACCGAAATCGACAACATTCGACACGTTTCAGAATACGTTGACGAATATTACTGGATCCTAGAAATCCTCACTCCATTCGTTGTTAACCAACAATCTGATCACCCCGAACGTTTCATTGTTACAGTACTCCAAAGCGATTTCTGGGCCGTTATCAACCATAGCTCACGAACTCGTATCTATTCGCAATACTCTTACACCTACCAAGGTCGGAGAGGAGAAGCACCACTCATCCCGTCGGTTGAACAACTTTTTGCACCTTGCGCAGAAAGGATAGAACGAGAAACAGGAAGTTCATTAACAGATATACTTGGAGGAGAATCTAGCAGCGAAACCGAGTCGGAAAGTGAAGAGTCTACTCAAAGCGTAGAATACTGGAGACCCCGAGAAGCAGAAGGAGGAGACTTCCCTAGTAATTTTACGTTTGACCCAGACTTCGAGTAAATAAAAAAGGACTAGTTATCTAGAAAGACTTGTTATCTAAAAAACCCGTTATCTAACCCGTTGAAAATCTGGAGCCCTATCGAGAACCCCGTCCTCTGGTCACTCCCGACACACCTCCCCCACAATCTCTAGGAGCTGCTGCTGAAGCTCTAGAACCAGACGATCTGTATCAATCAGCAGGACCAGAAAACTTTCCTCCCCCACCTTCAACTCCGGAACCCGAAAACCAACCCGACGATTGGTTCGATCAGGAATCTTTGGACCTTGAACCTGATCTAGCAGCAGCAATGGCCGACGAAACAAATCAAGGAAGTAAAGCTGTCCTTGCCACTCCTCCATTCGAATTCATCGGTAAAAAGGAAACATACGTTGACTGGAAGAACGCTTTAGCAAACTACTTTTTCGCCTATCCCAGAAGTTTCCAAACCAATTCCTCCAAAATCCTCTTTGCACTATCCCGGATCTCGTCCGATAAAGCCAATGACGCCTGTCATACATGGAAGGCGAATTTCAACAACAAAACCGCAGTGCTAGGAGACCTATTTGCACCGCGAAATTGGGGAACTATCTCAGAATTCATCAAGGAGTTAGATAACGAATTCTTGGACCCCCATCTCAAGTTGAAAGCAGAGATTGCCCTTCACGATTACGAACAGCGAGAGATGACGGTAGACGCATATTTTGGAGGACTCGAATCCAAACTCATGGAAGCAGGATTACCACCAGACGCAGATGAAAGTTATCCGTTCATTCACAGTATCCTTCGCCGCAACCTCTCTCAATTCCTTCGTGATCGTATCTCGCAACAGGAAAACCTACCCACCACGTACTTAGAGTGGAAGGCAGCAGCAAGGAAATGGGAACAGCGAAATGAAGAGCTTAATCTGGAAAGGAGGAGAGATAAACCACCTCAACAGAGGCTGCCAACTCAGTACCAACGATATCAACCGCGCTATCAGCAGAACCGAGACTACCCTCCGCCACAGTATCGACAGACAGTACCGCGAACAGAGACGCGAAGACCACAATATATCCAACAGCGACCGTATTATACTCCATCTCATAGACCACCGCCCCAGAATGCAGTCCATCCAAACACAGCAGGAACGTTTGGAGGATCAGGTGTACCTATGGAGATTGGGAGTTCCAACACGCAGAGACAACATCGGCCCAACCCGAATGTTACTTGTTACAACTGTGGCGAACGAGGCCACATTGCTAGAAATTGCCCACATGGAAAGATGGCAATACGATATATGGAAACGGAGGAAACCAAAGACACTCCCACTACATCATCATTAAAAGAAATCGAAGCACCCCCGAAGGATTTTCAGAAAGGTCAGGAGTAAGCACGGACTCTCTGACCCGAAATGTTGTAATTAACCCTCGTATATTACCAACGACTGCAATGAAACGAGTTGATCAACATCTACGTGCTGTAACTGAAACCTACGCAAAGCCACATTCACCGGAATGGTTGGCCAGACGAATCAAAGACCAGAAACCAGAAAGAGCAAGAGCTCTGTTACGAAACTGGGCCCATAAAGATCACTACAAGCATATCACCCTGCAGGCGATACAGATGCTAAAGAACCACGACGAAGAGAACATTATAGAACGCATCCATGCTTACACCTCGTCGCACAA